TGATACTGTGAAGGGTGATCAGGGCAGGTCACTGGTGCTGCCAGGCGTCCTGGTCCCAGTATGTCACTTACCAACCTGGGCTCTGGCCTCTGCATCTGAGCCAGGGAGTGCCTCAGGCTTGCCTCTGATACCCCGTTCTGCCAGTATCTCCTGGGTCGGTGTGATCTGGATCCCAGCTGGGCTGCGTCTACTGCAACTCCCCTGCCCACCGCCTCCTCTATCTCCTCGAAGGCTCTCCTGACAGGTTCCCGGCGATCCTCTGCTAGGTCAACGTTTTCCAAGATATAGAGCACCCCCCCTGCTTCTTTTGCAACATTTCCAGCACCCTATTCAGGTCCCTGAAGGAGGCTCCCCTGCCGTCTTCCATGCCCAGTCCATCTCCCGCTCTCAAGTATCCTTGGCATTCCCAGCCCGCGACTACTAAATCCACCTGCCCCCACTTTTCCAGCTGCTCTTCCGTAATGTCTCTCACGTCGTCCACCGTGGCCTCGTCCTCTGCAGGTATGGCGGTATCAACCAGTTGCTGCGGGTACTCCTCCAGCAGCCTCCTTGCATGGTGTCGAGCCATCCTTCTCACGGCAGGATCTTTCTCCACGTGGATCCATTTGCGTACCCTGCGTCCCGCTTTCAGCGCCGCTGCCAGGCCTGTTCCGATGCCCCCATATAGCTCCACTATGCATAGCGAGCTCTCCAGGGCTCATATCCTCGTGATCCGCTCCCTCAGAGTAGGTGGGTCTTCCCCCTTTCTTATTCATTCCGTCCTGCGCTCGTACTCTACCGCATACTGTTCCCAAGACCATGAGTCCAGCTCTCCCTTTAGGTCGGTGGCCTCAGCTCATCAGGCTTCCCTCGGCCCCTGTCTGATGAACTTTACAGGCAGAGTGCCGAATGCGCTCTCGGGATCCCAGTATTGTGCTCAGTAGAGGACCTTTTCCTGCCACGTGCATATGGTGGCTCCCACTCGGTACAGCAGGTCCATGCCGACAAGTACGTCGTAATCTCCGACGGAGACACCCCATAGACCACTCTGATACAACACTCTTTCTCCGTTCCTAGGCGCAGAACTATCTCTATGGGTCTCTGCGTTCTCGGCATCCACTTCGCCCCCCCCCCCTTCTGCAGTCATGAGCAGTGGTCCTCTCTCTATGAGTCTGCCTGGTAAGTCTAGCTTCAGCTGCTTTGCCAAGCCCTTCCCTACCAGGACGTGGTGGGCTCCGGTGTCAATTATGGCCTGCCCCACTGGCAGGCCGCCCACCGTCATGCTCCCCTTTTCTGCTATCAGTACCGAGGCTTGGCCCACCAACCGCTCGTTCGGATGCCTCCTCATTTCAGGGTTCCGGTGACCTTCCCTTGGGCTAATCCTTGGAGCTCACGAGCTTTCCGCTTCCGCCACTTGCGGCTGACTGGCCCTAGGCCTCAGGTTCAGGTCATCCCGCTCCCTAGGGAAGGCCATGCAGGAGTATTCCCTGATATACTCTTCTTCCTCCTCCTCTGCTCCCTCGATCTCCTCATATGCCAGCATGGCTCTTTCTTTGAGGTCAGGTTTGAGCGTCTTGGCCAGCTTCAGCTGCAGCTTCTGGATTTCGGCTTGTATGTCCTCTCTGCTGCCCGCCTCCTCGGTTCTCCTCCCGCCGTAGCACTCCTCCCTTTTGTGTCCCCGTCTTCCGCAGTTATCAGACGTCGGCGCCTTGGGGCATTCTAGCTTCAGATGATCCCCTTCTCCGCATTCGTGGCAATGGCGGCTGTCCACTCGCGTGAATGCCGTCTCTTCGGCCTCGGTTAACGCTGCCGCTGCCCAGGATGTCTTGGCTTTCCCTCGCGTTTCTCCATCTTCCATATCCACCATCCTCTGTGCATGCTCGGTCCGCTTGGCTAGCCCATACACCTCTTTCAGTGTGATGTCAGCACCTACGCCATACACCGTGTTCCTGACTACGCCGCGTAGATCCTCGTCTAGGCCTCGAACGAATTTGCACACCAACACCCTCTCCTCTCTGCTTTCCAGATCCTCTGCCAGCTCCTTCAATCTGCAGTAGTACGCCAGTAGTGACTCGTTTTTCTTCCTGCGGAACTCGCGGAACTCCTCTACTTGTGCTTTCGTTTGCCCGAGAAATTCCTTCTTTAGTAGTTCCAGGAACCGCGTCGTGGGGTTCTTGATCTCCCCATTCTCCAGCTCCTCCAACACTTCTTCGCGGACCAAGAAGTAGAATGTCTCTGCTTCTTCTGCTAGGGTCACCACCATCCTGCGGAAGAATTCCACGGGATCTTGCCCATCTCGCTCCCAACAGTATCTCATCGTCTCCAGCAGCATTAGATAGTTCTTCAATGTCGGTCCTACCCCTGGAGTTCCAGTGAAGCGGCAGTGTCGGCAGAGAGAAGAGTGGGTGAATTGCTGAAGTCGCCGATGGTGACACAGAGAAGAGGGGAGATAGGGTGAACAGAGAAGAGTTCCTCAAACCGATCTTCAAGAAGATTGGGGTCCTGAGAGGAAGATAGACGAGTGAAAAGAGCGGAGTGTTGAAAATTGGACATTGCGCGGGTCATGGAGCGAGTGAGGCGCGGAGAGGGTGGGGGAAGGGGAACAGAAGGAAGGGAAGCATCAGGAGGTGGCGATGGAGAGGGCATGGGGGCTGAAGAGGAAGAGGCAGGAGGAGAGTTGCCTCAGGTGACGGTGGAAGGAGGGGAGGAGGGGGCAGGTGGGAGAGGAGGAGCAGGGGCGGGGGGAAGGGGAGGTGGGGAGGGAGTAGCAGAGGGAGCAGCGGAGGGACGCGGATCAAAGTCAGACCAATGGAGGGCAGGATTAGGAGGGGTGGGAGGGAGAGTGAGGAAGGGAGAGCGAGTCTCGTCAAAGATGACATCCTGGCTGCGAATGAGCTGCTGAGAGGAGGGAGCATAGAAAAGGCAGCGAGGACAATCAGAGTTGATGCCAATAAATGCACAGAGCTGCGTCTTAGGAGCGAGTTTCCCACCCTAACGTGCCCGATCAGCTGGATTGACGAGGACATGAGCGACACAGCCCCACACCCGAAGAGGGCGAGCAGAGGGCCGGCGGCCCGTCCAGAGCTGAAAGGGGGTAGTGGTGGGGCGAAGGGGATGAGGACGAAGGTTGGAAAGAAGAGTCGCGTGAACAAGAGCATAGCTCCAAAGAGAGCGGGGAGCGGAAGCATGGGTGAGGAGACATCGAGTGATCTGCATGAGAGTGCGATTGCGACGCTCGGCAACACCATTCTGTTTGACGAATGCCATGAGAGGAGCAGTAAGAGGAGAGAGAATGATTAAAGAACTCGCCACCACCGTCGGAGTGGAAACGCGCGACAGGACGCCCAAAGCGAAGGCGAGCCTGTTCAGCCCAACGAATGATGAAGGAAGGGGCGTCAGATTTGGCACGAAGGGGATAGACAGTGGCAAAGCGAAAATGGTCATCAACGAGAAGGAGAAAGTAACGATGACCTTGTCGGGAGGCAATTGGGGAGGGACCCCAAAGGTCGATATGCACGAGATCAAGAGGCTGGGGGGAGGCAGAAGGAGAAGAAAGATGAGGAGACTGAGAAAGCTTGGCTTGAACACAAGGAGTGCATAGAGGGGCGGGAGAGGGAGGAGGGGGTGGGGGAGAGGAGGGAAGACAATGAAGCAGCTTCAAATGGACCATGCTGTGAAGGAGAGGGAAGTTTGGGTGGCCGAGACGATGATGGAGAAGAAGGGTAGGTTGGGTGAGAGAGCGACAGTCGCAAGAGGAAATGGGTGGAGCGGAAGTAGGGGAAGTGTGATGCGCAGACGAGGGGAGAGAAACACGGAGGGTATAGAGACGAGAGGCAGGGGAAAGGGTGAAACGAGCGAGATGCCGGTCTTGGTAATGAAGATCACAATAGAGTTCACCTGCGGGGAAACTCGCTCGCACACCAAGGCATTGGAGGGCGGAGAGGGAGAGAAGGTTATGACGACAAGAGGGAACATAGAGGCCAGTGACTGCGCCAGAGGGGGAGGCAGGACAGGGAAGAGAGGAGGTGCCAGTGCATGTCAGGGTCATGGTCTCCCCAGCTCCATGAATAAAGAGAGGGCGGGGAAAGGAACGAAGAACACCGGCATCACGAAAAACAGAGTCAGTAGCACCACTGTCGAGGACAAATTCCAAGGTGCGAGGGAGATACAGAGCAGCAACTGTAGAGCAGGGATATGGAGAGACAATGCTAGTAGCAGAAGGAAGAAATGGCACGTTAAAGCGAGGGTCCATGAGAGGAGAAGCACCAAGATGCTAGCATAAGAAGGCATGGTCACACTGAGAGCAGAGGGAAAAGCATCAGCACAAGGAGCCGCGACGGAAAGCGATGGCGGGGCAGGGGACTGGCGACGCTGGTGAGACTGTAGAAACAAGACAGGAGGAGAGGTCCAAGTGGGAGAGAGGGGAGCGGATGACGCATAGGGTAGGGGAAGGAGGGGTAAAGGATGAGGGACAACAGTAGGAGAGAGAGGGCAGTACCGGCGAGGACGAGAGGGAGTCGTAAGAATGGGCGCCATAGGAGGGGAAGGAGACGGAAACAGAGCAGTTGAGGGAAGAAATAAGAGGCGGAGGAATATGGCGAAGTAGTCTGCTGTGGAGAAGCTGAGGGGAGAAATAAGAGGAGGAGGAATAATCGGCGGAGTAGTCTGCTGCTGCGCCGCTGAGGGGAGAAATAAGAGGCGGAGGAAAATGGGCGGAGTAGTCTGCTGCTGCGCCGCTGAGGGGAGAAATAAGAGGCGGAGGAATATGGGCGGAGTAGTCTGCTGCTGTGCCGCTGAGGGGAGAAATAAGAGGCGGAGGAATATGGGCGGAGTAGTCTGCTGCTACGCCGCTGAGGGGAGAAATAAGAGGAGGGATAGCGGCGGAGTAGTCTGCTGCTGCGCCGATGAGGGGAGAAACAAGAGGAGGAGGGAAACAATTGAGAGAGTTTGCAGTTGAGCAGTTGACGGGAGGATATTGAGGAGGAGGGAAGGTGTGGAAGAGCAACAGGGACAAGATACAATCAGCTACCAGCTGCAGCAGATGAATAGAGGAAAGAGGTGGAGGAAGGGGTGAGATAGTGGAGAGGGAACGAGTGGGAGAGAGGAGAGGAGGAGGATGGCGAAGGGGCGGATTGTGGGAAGGGCAGGGCGCGCCACAAGTAGCTACGAGCTGCAACAGGTGAGGAGAGAAAATAGGAGGAGGAAGAGGTGAGGTAGTGGGGGGAAGCACAAAGGAGAGAGGAAAGGAGGAGGGTGAGGGAGGGGGGGCGGATTGAGGAAGGGCAGGGCGCGCCGCAAGGAAAGGCAGGCGCGCGCGCTGCTGGACGGTGCGAAGAGCGCGCGGCGGCGGGAGCGCAATGCACGCGCGACGGGATGGTGGGGGGGGGGGGGGGGGGGAGGGACGGCAGAACGCTCTTCTGGTGAAAATGGGCGCGCGACCACCAGAAACGTGAGGAGAAGGAGGCGCGACGAATAGGAAAGCGCGGGAGGGTGATACGGGCAGTATGGCGGCGCGCTACGGACTGGATTAGGGAATGCGCGAGAGACAAAAAATGCGATTTCTAAGAGTGACGGGAAAGAAAAGAGATTAAAAAAAAAAAACGTCTAGCTAAGTAGGGCGAAAATGGCCTAAGGACCTGAGATCATCTAAGAAATACGAATAAGAATGAAACGCGTAGGACTACGCTCTGGATACCATGTTAAGATGTGAGGAGCCATGGATGTCGAGAGAGTTAGTAGGGTCGAAAAAATTGTACTAGAAGAAAGTGTCGAGAGACATTTGAAAGATAGGGTTGGGAAACCCCAACTGAACCTAAGGCGTGTTCAATGCAGAGACAAACTGCAAAGTGAACCAAGATGAACCAGAAATGAAACTAAGTCTAAAAGTGGCCGAAATTTAATATAAGGCCAAAATGAAATGCAGAGCGAACACTAGCCTACTCCAACATCCGTTACTTCCAACTTCGGTTGCGCGGGTGCGGCCCACATGCGTTCTCGATGCGCGTCAGACGTATGCAGTTCCTCGGGCTGAGTTGTCAGCCTTGTTGCCACCATTTTGCGCCGGATGGGTGTCGGCGAATCTCCCCCCACGTACCGGTGCAGCCATTGTTCCTCCTCTTGCTAGGCGGTCGGTCCCATTCCTGGCATCGGCCAGGGCGAGCTGCTCGCGTTCTGTCGTTCCCACCGCGCTCGAGTCTCCTGCGCCCATCACAGCTCGTGCGGAGTTTCTCCGGGATCTAAAGCCGCCTGCCTTCCGCCCTCCATCGATCCTTCAGTTCCACGTGCTCTTTGTTGAGGCGTTCGATACGCTCCCGTCTCCGGTGGCGTTAGTCACACGTTATCTTCCCGCCGCCCGTTCGTCGCTGCCACGCTTGGTTGCGCTCTCCAGCTCGGGGCCGCTTGACTCTCTTCTCTCCAATATCTGTGACCGGATCTTAAGCGATACCTATCGTTCATCTCGGTTCGTAAACCTTGCTCGTTTGTTGAAAAGTTCCCAGACGGGCCTTAGCTATCTACAGCTCTAGGGAACTGAAGCTCGGCTGGCTCTCTAGCTCAGCTACTTCCACTGGTGGCTTGCGGGGTTGGCATCACTGGTTGATTAGCTCTAGAAGTTCGCTAGGCCAAAATTCTGCTTTATTGTGAGAACAAACTAGCAAGCAAGCTGTTCCACCCCCACTTCTTGCCTAAGTATCTTCTGGTGGTTACCGTTGCTAACACCGTTGCTTTCGCTAGTCTTTGCCTTTCGCTTCTTCTCGCTCGATCAGTTTGGTTTCCCGCCATCCTCCCTATTGTCTAACCTCCTACTATTTGTTTGTCATGCATTTATATTGTCTATATCCTATCTTGCAATTAAAAGCACGACAATGCTGCATAGGATACACGTCCCATGTCACTGGCCGTGGTGCGGGCGATATCGGCAGAGTGCCGTGTGAGGGGGACTCCCTCGATTCTGGCCAGCATCACACCCGGCTAGCTGTCATGGGCGCAGCGACTCATCCGCGCAATGTCCCAAATCCCCGACATGCACGATGGCTGGCACGTGTGTTGAGGTGGTTATATACTACCCCCACCCCCCCCAACCCCCCTCTTCCCTCTGTTTTTTCCATGGTGTCTTCACATGCCCTTCCCACACGCCCATGCAATCATAACCCTGCATCCGCCTCTTCCCTCTGTTTTTTTCCCCCAGGCCCTCTCATCCTAGCTTCCTAGCCCTCTTTGCAGCCCACGGGTGACTCATGCAATAGCATACACATGATGGCTTGTGTCATGGGCATTCACTGGTGTGCCATTGGCCCTTCCTACACGCCCATGAAATCATAACCCTGCTCCCCCCACTTCCCTCTGTTTTTTTTCCCCAGGCCCTCCCATGCTAGCTCAAGAGCACACTTTTCAGCACACGGTGTGACTCAGGCCAGATATGGCTCATCCAAATACATCGTGATGCCATATAGACTGACCAACGCCCCTGCCATATTTCAGGTGACGATGAACGAGGCGTTCCGCCCACTTTTAGATAAGCGCGTCATCGTCTACATGGATGACATACTGATTTACATCACCGACAGAGCACATAACCTATTTGATAGTGAAGCAATTCTAAAATTTTAGCTGAATTCCAGGTTAACCAAGGCCTCAAAGTGTGAGTTTTTACAAGACAGACAAGAAATAGACACGTAGAAGATTGCGATGACTCAGCACTGGCATGCGGCGAAATATCTGACCTGGCTGCAAAGTTTTATGGGGTTCGTCAACTACGTGCGTCGCTTCGTCCCACCATGGCGAAGCTGACCGCCCCACTGACAGACCAGCTGAGGAAGGGGGTTGAGTATACGTGGGGGGGGGGGGGGGGGGGGGAAGAGCAAGCTGCCTGTTCGACCCTCAAAATTATTTTGTCAGTTGCCGCTGATCGAGTTTGCCGCATCAGCGACATCAGTGAAAACGAAGTGAACGCCATTCTACCTCAACTATGGGCAAAACCTCAACTATGGCCGAAATTCTGCAACCTGCCCAAACGCGCGCAACAGAAGCAATTAAAAGAAGCAAATGATTTTGCTAAGAGGAACGCAAATCGCCACTGCCGCTCCGTAACGTACCAGTCTGGAGATTACGTGCTGCTTGACACCCAGAACTTACGCCTGCCCATCGTGCCGAAACGTCGACCGCTCTACTGTGGCCCATTTCAAATTAGCCACATGATCACGCCTATCGCCGCCTATCTCATGGTACCGCTGACTGGTACACCAGCCCGTCATTCCACACCAGCCTTCTTCACCTGTACATCCTAACCACGAGCCAGCTGCCACGCCATCGCTCACCTTCGATGACGCGTCCTACATCAGAGCCAACTGTTGACCCTGAGAAGATTCGGAGCCATCGGATCCGTCACCCCACGGGCGTTCGGATGATTGAATTCCTCGTCCGCTGGAAGGCCCCAACCCCACGGAAGATAGATGGGTGCCCATGGCCAACATCGAAAACCACCATGTCCTCCAAGTGTACCTGCGAAGCTGGGGATTCCGTGATAGACACGCATTCGCGCAGCGGAGGGGCTTCTTGGGGAGGGGGCTAGTGTAAGGATTTTTTTTTACATTCCTTACCGCGAGCCTCAACATCGCGTACATGACCAACCATTTCTTCGCCCGTTACTACTAACGGTGTTTCGCCGCCTTCGCGTCACATTTCCCAAACCATGCACCGCTGGCCTGGCCCGAGTCGGCCTACACAACTGGGCTAGCCTGAACCTCGCTGTCAGCATCGCACTAGCTAGCTCGCACGCACCGCGTTACCCTTTGCATGTTTCGCTATATATGTTTGCTCATGGCTCGCTCATATCTTGTACTTGTTTGCCAACTCAGTGCAATCCTTCCTACCTAGATAAATTGCACCTGTAACACAAGTGTACACTTGAAATGTATGAATGTTGGATAGGGAAAATATGCCACAATGTGACTCGATAACGATATGGTAAAACAATCTCGCGTGCACTCACTGTATTGAGTGTTCTAACGGGTATGGTAATTGGTTAACGCATTCACTCACTAACAACAGGCAGCAATTCATGCGAATGGTCACACATGTAACTCTCACCAGAAATACTTGAAACGCTGCAATTTTCCCGCTCATGCCAAACCAATTGTTGGAATAACCGATGGTTATTATAACATTCCCGAAGGCTTCCCTTAGCGCATCGCTTCATAACGAGGCAGCGCTCCTGTACCAGTATCGCGTTAAGCTCATATAGAGCACGCGGCAACCTGAAAGCCACTCGAAGGTGAACAGTCGAAGGGAGTCAACGGTCGCGACTGTTCACCGCCCAGTAACCGTACTCGGAGGTTACGCGATGCAACCTGGTAATTGTCGAGTAGAGCAATAGTCGCGATTACTGTAGCAATGCAATACAGTTAATAAGGGAATGTACCCCTCAGAGTATATGGCTAGCTAGGATTGATATTTATATCTTTGTACTCCTATCTAAAAGCATCTTGTTCTCTTTCAGTTAATATCAACAAGGTCATTACAATACTTCACTGTCTTCTTACAACTTGGCTAGACTTATCCTATCCACAACGAATCTCGCTTATATCAACACCAATCAACTAACTTCGAAAAAATAACTAAAACCCAATCGGAAGCTGATGCGATTAGGAAACAAATCAACCCTAAACACAAAGCGAGCTACGTATTTAGGGTGGATCAATCCGAAAATGCATCCAAGTTCCGTTTAGGTATTAACTTTTTTTTTTTTTTAGCGGGAGTTTCATCTATGACCATTCGCGTGATTTTTTCCTACTTAATAGTGACCGATCGCGTGAAACGTTTTATCAAACACGTGAAAACACCCTTTGGAGTGACCGTACCCGTTATTTTTTTACCAAACATATCATCTAGACCCTTGTTTATTAAGGATGTGTTACGGGTGCAATGGAACGAGATAGCAAGGATTGCACTAGGATGTTAAACGAGTACAAAATGTGAGCGAAGGCATGAGCGAATATGTATGTGCAAAAACATGCAATGGTTACGCGGTGCGTGCGACCTAGCTAGTGCTAGGCTGGCATCGAGGTTCGGGCTAGTCCCGAAGCGTGGGCCGACTCGGCCGGGCCAGCGGTGCATGGTTTGGTGAAAACATTGCGCACGAAGTTGGCGAAGCCCCGTTAGCAGTAACGGGAGAACGACGGCTGCTGCTGTACGCGATGTTGAAGAACGCAGTAAGGAATGCCGAAAAATTCCTTACACTACCCCCGCCCCTCAAGAAGCCCCCTTCGCTACGCGAGTGCGTATATACCGCGGAAACCCCGGCTCCTCAGGTACACTTGTAGGGCAGGGTGGTTTTTTATGTTGGCCAGGGGCACCGAGCTGTCTTCAGTTGGCGTGCGGTCCTTCCAGCGAACGAGGAACTTGATCCTCTTGATGCCTGTGGGGTGACCAATCCGATGGCTCAAATTCTTCTCGGGCTCGACGATCGGCTCCGATGCAGGTCGAGTCATAGACGGTGGGCGATGGCGTGTCAGTTGGCTTGTGGTCGGGATGTATGGGCGAAGCAAGCTGACGTGGAACGATGGGCTGATGTACCAGTCTGTCGGTAACAGTAGTTGGGCAGTAACAGGGGTGATTATGTGGCTGATTTGAAACGGTCCACAGTAGCGCGGTCGAATTCGGTACGACGGGCAGTCTTATATACTGTGTGTCAAGTAGTACCTAGTCCCCTGACTGGTACGTGACTAGGCGGTGGTGGCGGTCAGCATTTCTCTTAGCGATGACGCTTGTTTTTTTTATTGCTTTTGCTGCTCGCGTTCGGGCAGCTTGCAATATCTCGGCGATCTGTTGAGCGCGTGGCGTGGGGTTGTCCAGACTCGGCGTCATGGGCACTGTTGGATTTTGCCCGTAGTTCATGTAAAACGGGGACTGCTGCGTCGTCGCTGACGTGGCATTGTTGTAGGCGAACTCGATCAGCGGCAGCTGCTGCTCCCATGTTGTCGGGTCGTCGCACGTGGCAAGAATCAACTGCTCCATGGTCTGGTTCGTCCGCTCCGTTTGACCGTCGGTCTCGGGTG